TCGCCGAATCTCACTGCAGACCAAATGCGCCGCCGCATCTCGCTCTTAAAAGGCGTAATGTTTGGAAAGTGGCTAGGGTCACGGTGGTATCCCATCCGCAAAGCCATGTTCACTTCAAGACCCAATAGAAACCAAAGATCCTCTTTGGCATCCGGCCCCAACAGAAACTCCAGGTATATGTATTGAATCATTGCCTCTAGTACGTGTTCGCCAGGTTTGGTGTACTCTGCTGCGACGAGACATTCGACGACCTTTTCTCGATAGACCTGTATATGATCTTGTTGGCTACTCTCGGCGCGATACTCCGGATTAAATGTTTCGGAAACGATTGCCGCGAGGCATATCATGCCGAAAAGCAAGCCAACCCAGGCAAATGAAACTGTATACGGGTCTTTCCAGAAAGCCTCATACTACACATACTTTTTCAGCACAATGTTTGGAAACTAGTGTGAAATAAAGCAATGCAAGTACCGACCTCACAGAGGAAAGAAGGACCATGTATAGTGACTGTTCTTCGTCAATATGTAGGTTAGGATGATCATCGAACGCCTTGACTTGAGCGTCGAGACATAACTCCTACCAAGAGAGAGCTTTTGGAACGTACATGATACAAGGTCCACATAGTTGAAGTAGCGAGAAACATGTCTGTCGACTATCGGTTTTGGGGGCAATGCTTGAAGAATCTCTGCACGCGATGCTGGTTCTCGCCCGTACAGGAGGAGTGCGCGGTCTGACTTCTTATTGGCATTGTCGCTAGCCACTTCCTCTGGAGAGAGATCCTCGCTTGACACTTGGCTTTTGAGGTCAGCAATACTGTCCAGGATAGCGGCCCAATGTTCCTGGCCGACGTAGCGAAGCTTTGAGGTGCTGACAACCAAACTGCCACAGTCAGATCTGTCGTCTACAAGGTCATCGTTTTCAGTGGGAGCAGCATTGCTTGCCGGACCAATGTTTGTGGAGATGCCTGCTGGGCCCAGGTCATTCAGACATTGACGAGGCAGAGTTTCGGCAGGCTGGATCTGTGCATCTTTGGCATCCAAGTCAAACCTTAGAGTTACTAGCTGATTCTCTAATTGGTTCAATCGGTCACGTAAAGTCTGGTTCATGCGAGATGCCGAGTGCTTTGAGGGGAGAGTCTGTGAAGCATAGGTGCAGATTTCGCCACGAGAAACGCAACTGGAACAGGGAATTTGACGATCGCAACGAGATCTGAGAGCAGGCCCAACTGGAGGTCAGAGATTCAGATGATGCGAAATCAGATAGGTGTGATGGCTGACTTGCGACGTCGGCAATGGTTGCACGACAGCTGTGGTTTTTCGCGCCCGCTAGGCTTTGAACGAGAATCGCTTGCGGTGTGGCCTTCGCCGTGCGAACTGGGCGCTGCCGCGGACATAATTATTACCCCTCAGGACTAGGCAAGTTAGACGATATTTGCGCGGCCTCGGTCGATGTCAAACGGGTAGAACCGGACTCGCGAAGCAGAGGATCTTATGCTTATTGACATGATGATGATGAAATCGGGAACGAAAGGCGCGGAGATTTCGGAGAAGAGCACAGAACACATCAACTAGCGCTGATGCTGCCAGAGACCACGCAACAACGCGCCAAAATATCACATGTATCATGTACGACGTTGCATCGATGTCCTGAAAGTACCTATATGAGTTGATCGATGGTTTGGTTTCTGAGATGCAAATACAATATGTGACTATTCGGTGTGACCCTGAAACTATTTTGAACTCCAAACACTTCGAATCTCCAACGCGCGCACCCAGTACTTGTGGGGATACATAGAAGAATGAAAGTCCTAGGACAAATCCCTGGTTTCCTGGCTGCATTCCATTGCATCTATAAATCCTTTCGAATGCTGTCGGTGACCACCCTAGACGCTTTTCCGTCGCCCGCGTCAACCCTAAACCTATATGTATCGCCTCGGTCCAGATACACGACCCTGTCCTCCCACTGCTTCCCCAGCTTCTTGACTTCCTCCTTGAAGTCGCTCAGAGGGCTAAGGAAGACGCTATAATCGTCAAAATGAATAGGGATTGTCAAGTCAGGGTTGAGCAATTTCATGAGTTCGACCCCTTGCTTTCCGTCCATCGTCACCATCAGCAGCGGCGCATTTGGGCCTGGGATCGTAGTTCCGCCAAGGTGTATAAGCATGAGATCAATGTTTGACTCCTTCTGAGGTGCAGAAGGAGATTGTTTCTGTTGCTGCTCCCGGATGGTGCGCAAATACGGCGGAATCGACTTGAGTTCATCCACGAGCAACGTGTCGCCCGAAATATAGATCGTGTACCCCACGTCTGGTGATACAGTCATCGCATCCGACGTCACGCTAGGTGACGGCTGACTAGGCGAAGAAACCGGGGAAGTGTCAGACGTCCACCCCATTTCAAGCAGCCAGCCGTTTGTTGGCGGCACTGCGCCGAGGAGATTATTGATAGCGGCCAGCGGACCAGGAGGAACATGTTTCCCTGGCATTCCTGTGATTTTTATGATAGGCGCCGGTTGTCCGTCTGTATTGCCACCAATGTGCAACACTAGGCTGTCGAAAAAATCAAGATCGTGAACATTGCTGAAGGGACCTAGAGAACCCGTGACAGTCGTCTTAGACTTGTCCACGGGAGTCAAGCATCCTTTAGCATGCGGCGTGGTCACAATTGGGAATGCTCTGTTAAGACTGTCCTCCACTAGGCGATCAAAGTGGTCTTCATGGTAATGGCTGAGCAGTACAAGATCAATCGGAGGGAGCTCGTTCAAGTCAACGGCTGGATTGGTGAGTCGTTCTGCTGTCACGCCAGGACCCAAATGCACGTGGTCGCCCTTATGCAGGAAGTTAGGGTCTGTCAAAATTCTTATCCCTTGCCATTCAATGATCGTTGTAGCCGTGCCGATGAAGGAGACGCTGGCGTCTTCTGGGGGCTGGCTCTCATGCGAATGCTTTGGATGTGTATGTACCGTTTTGGTGGGAAAAGCTTCGGGCGCGTCACTCGAACTCTGTTGTTCGCGAAGCAGCGGCTGCCGTTGAGATGGGTTTAGGTAGAGATGTTGCAGTGGCTTCATCTTGGATTGTTCCGAGCTTGGCACTGGCCCGCGATCTCTCCTGTATTTCAGGCCTTGAAGGAAGTACTATGTGTACTCACAGATGTGAGGAACTAATTGTAGTTTGAAGAAAGCAGAAAATTAGAGTAGTACCTACATTTAGACGAATGGTTCGGTATTGTATCTGAGGAGAAGCTCAAGCAAAGCTCCGTCCAGCCGATCATGACCACTAGGTGATGTCATGGGCAAAGCATCATCGCTCCAGAAACGAATCACCAATGCCATACATAATGATATTGTCAATAGATAAGTCCTTTCGTATCAATCCTCGAGAGGTCTGGAGTTATTAACGCAGTTTCTGCTGATTGTCCATAAATCCTGCAGACAGAAATCCCGCGATCGGTTGAGCTAGCATTCAATGCATCGCTTGATTTGAACATGTCTTCGGAGAAAAGCCAGATTCCTACGACAGGGACACGTACACAGCTTGCAGCTTCTGTCAAGGCTTTCCTGTCGGAAAATCCAACGCTTCACTTAGGAGGCCGCGGAGATTTTCATGCTGAACGGCGACATCATCTTCAAGTATTCGGTTTCCATAATCTGCCACGAGAGAAGCAAGCCCCCATTGGCCATGTCCACTTCGATGGTGTGCGTGGTCGAAATGGCACCATCCCAGTGCGACTTTTCTATCCCCGCGCTCGTAAGGAGCCAGAGAAGCTTCCAGCGTTGATTTATTTCCATGGGGGCGGGTATACAGTTGGAAGTGGTCAGTACGAAGCATTCCACGAGAACCTAATTTGTCGTTGTTAATGAGAAATATTAACGGATTATTATAGTATGTATATGACACGTCGTGCTCTCTATTGCTACTAACGTAGAGTATTCTCATTTATAGGTCGACGAGTTTGAGAACGGATTAAGGCTGATTGCTGAAGAAGCAAATGTTATTGTAGGATGCAACACCCTTTTCACCCCGACTTGCAATATCCTGCCTGGGTCTTTTACGCTGGTGCTTCATCGTCTCAAATTTGTTGATTTCTCCAGAAATGCTACTGTACGAATCATCATCTACCTGACACGGATCGAACCCATAGGCAATCGGCGTCGAATATCGACTTGCGCCAGAATGGTCATTTCCCGTGCAGCTTTATGAATACGAAGACGTACTTGGTTGGGCACAAGGCTCTGAAGGCAGTAAGCTAGGCATCGATGCCAACCGTGTGCTCGGTGGCGGTGATTCTGCTGGTGGTAACATGACAGCGGCGATTTCATTACGTTTGAAAGACGAGAATTCCGAGGGTAGAAAAGGCCCTCGACCTCTGAAAGCGCAGATTCTGCTATATCCCGAAGCCCGGCTTCCATTTGATACTCCTGCCGCTACGGAGAACAATTCGGGATATTACCTGGAGTGTAAGCTCTACTCAAAACAATTTATGGTGCCGCGGTATACTGCTAAAAGTACAAATGCTAGGCAATGGCATTTTCTCGTTTGCAGATCATTATCTGCCACGTGCCCCAGATAGGTCCTATCCGCCAGCGCATCGTTATGTGTCTCCAGGCTTGCAGCAAGTCGAGAATCTTAAGGGCTTGCCTCCGGCCGCCGTTTTCACTTGTGGCTTCGATCCGCTGCGTGACGTAGGAGTTGAGTACGCCTCGAAGCTCAAGCAGGCAGGAAATCATGTGGAATGGCACCATTACCCAGAACTCACTCATGGATTTTTGCAGATGGCGCCGTGGAGCGAGGAGGCGATGAGAGCCACGAAACAGGTAGCGAAGGTAGTTCGGGAGCTCGCCGCTTAGATGATCGCGCGACGTAGTCACAATTATACGTATTTTTAGGTGATCTACAAGAAGACTGGTTATATGCGGCTATTTACACACTATTTGAATAGAAAATGCAATAAAAATTACTTGAGGAATCAAGCCAGGACCAATAAGATCGAGAAAAAAAGTTTTGACAGGAGTTGGAATCGAACCAACCTACTTGTCTCCTCTCCGCCACCTATTTGGGAGGGCAATGTCTCACCACTCGACCACCCTGTCTGAATTACGAATTCAGACAGCAAATGTCCAACAAATATAGTTCAGAGAACCGGTGGTAGCCAGGGTAATCAGGCGCCGCACCGGTCTCTGTGCTTATTACCTGGGTGAAAGTCCAGCGAATGAGAGGGGCAACAGAATCTGCCCCGTCAACTGCTCAGCAGTGTGGGAGATGACAAACATCCACTGGAAATGACCAGTCAAATTTGATAGGCATCGAACCCGTTAAAGGGCTTGCACGTGCAATTTGTGTTCGTAATCAAGGTTGCCGCATCGGACTCGACGGGGCGCCCTACTCGGGGAGATTCGGCAGAGTCTCCGGAAATGATAGATCTCATTGCGCTGTTTATGACTTGCAGCGTACTGTTGCCCTCTACGGGATCTTAATTGATTTCATACCCAGTTTGCATCAAATCACATGATGTTACGCGACGAAATGCGCTCACTTTAGACTCCACCGTATTATTTTCGACAATGGGAAATGCTTGTTGATTCCGCGCCGCCGCATTTTTGTTGTTCATATGAAAGTTTCGCCACGTGTCGTTGCTAGGAGACTCGGTTGTTACGAGTTTGATCATTCATCACGATTGGGGCACGCGTACAGGCCAAACCCGACCTAACGACCTGCGTCAATGAGCAAGGAGGTCTACGCGTCATGATAGCCGGGAAACTGTAGCCAGAATAATGAATCTCCTTCTCAGCAGCTCGTAGAATGACGACGCAGGGTGACGGGTTTCGGTTTCTTTTGCGAGGGTGATGGATAAATCAGCTTGCGACCATAGAGTGGCTATGAGACGTTTAGGCTTCTAATGCAAGGCAAACCTTTGGGGCGCTATCAAACTGCTCGTATTTGCGGCTCTTAGCCCCTGCGTCTCGAACGGAGCACGACGCCGAAAGGGAGACATAGTACAACCGCTCTGTTTCACAAACACCGACTGGCCTAGCAATTGGAACCCAATTGGAAATATGATGAGATACAGATATCGCCGGACAGTGGGCTCTCGTGCTGGGTTTCGAGGGTGATACTCATGAGGAAACGCATTTCCATGTTGTGAGTGCTTCTACTTAATGTGTCTCTAAGGAAAGGATAAAGAAGACACTCAGGGGGGGCAAGACTGCGATGTAATCTATACGTACTTTCATGTGTGAACAATTGTAATTAGGAACGGTACTGACGCGGTGGAGTGTATATTTGGCCGATCTAACGGTGATATAATACACCTGAATACCACCAGGTACACTGCAACGCATATATTGAATGGCTTCTTAATCTCGAAAGGCACTGGCGACTCCTCTTCTTCTGAGTGAATGCTCGTGGCCGAGACGCCGAAAACGTCATTAATCACCCCCTCAACCACGACTTTTAAGCAGAGCTCCTGTGACAGATCAATGTCCCTATCTAGGACCTCAAGTTGGGCGAGCTCGTCTGCTCAAAGCTCCCGGCCTACGAACAAATAATTTACTCGGTGGCACTTCACTGGCGATCGAGGCCTTGACACGTCATCCGAAGTAGGCGAAGGGGCTGGTGTCGGTGTAGCTAGTCTCTCTCCTCATCAGTCTCCGAGATCCTGATCTGATGCCGTCGACGTGCTCAAGGATCGCGTGGCCACCAAGGAACCACTACACACGAAAAGCATATGGTCGAGATATGATATGAGCGGCGAGGGCAAGAAACACGGACTGGCGAGGCAGAGCTTGTCTAAAGTCCATGGAGATTGTAAGGGTCGTCCTGAAGCCTAAAGAACAGAACAGAGCGGTGCACGTGCTTGATTCTGTTCAGCCAGAACTTAGAGAGCTGGATATTGTAGCTTCCAGTATTCAATAAGAGATGAGCTGATTTTGCCACGTAAATAGTGAAATTAGGTATAGTCCGACTTTAGCACAAATGATGGGGCATAGTGTAGAGATCACAATGCTAAATTTGCGTGGAATGGGTATCCCTTACCTTGACAGCATGACTTGTAAGATTAGGTAACCCAAGATGTTTGAAAACTGCACCCCAATATGAGATATCTCTAGAGCTAGACATCCTACATGAGCCTTGGAACAACCCCTATAGTGTCCTAGATAGGTCATTAGGGAGACACAAGGAGAAAGCCTGACATCAGCTGGAGCACGATAGCCTGCGAACTGGATGCCAGCTTCGACATCCCATCGCATCTTTACTCATCAACATTTTTGCCGAAAACGTAGAAGATCGTTAACGTGTAATTACTTATTTATTCTAAATTTATAGTCTTTGTGATAAATCAAACAGAAAACAGTCTCATCATTTTCGCTGCCTTCTATATTACAGGAAATAATACCAGCAATCTCGTCAAATCACCTGCAGTCACTAAAAATCGGATCCTCAACTCATATCACCTCATCGGATAATGTCCGCCCAGACAACCACGTGTAGATTTCGCAGTAGTGACCTGACACAACAGAGTGCTTAAGTAGTAGATCCCCCTTACGGGCGTAAATTGTGCCTTTTTGCCCGGCTGATGCCAATATAGAATGCGTTGGCACCTGCATGCAAAAGGGTATGCAGGCCGCTGCGGCCTACTGCGACCAAGCTCGGCTGTGGTCCCCGCACTAGTTGTGTGCCGCGAGTGATGAGTCTAATGATGTGTTGGGGTTGTTCGTTACTGGGCGTGTGTACCTGGAGTGAGAGATTAGAGCAGCGGGGAGCTGATGGATGATATTCTGCTAATACTGAGGAAAGGAGTCTCTTTACAGTAAATAGCTATGATATCTTAACCAGACTCGTCGAAGTCAAGACCTTGTAGAGATGTTCGTATCTTGCCATGTAGGGCTGTGGAAAGACCATAGTCAGGCTAGGACCAGGCCATAGATCAGGTCACGCATGTAAGGCGGGCCGATGCAGCGTCTCGCTGTGTTGTCAAACCAGGCCGCGACTTTATTATTCCGTGTTAGTAGTTACTCTCCCAAGATGGGCGAGAGTCGAGGAGCAACCTCTAATTACTTTTCTTGCCAAGAATGCAACCTCTCACCCACATTCCGCTATATTTTGAGGCAACGGGTCAGCAATCAAACCGCAAGATCAATTGTTGCAGATGTTGCATGTCGGAGACGCCCGACTACTGACCTCGTCTTACTCTTGGCTATAGTAAATTTCGGTCCTTCTGCTCATATCTGAGCATGATAGGTCAGTGTGCGTACCCGCGGATGTACATTGAGCCACTCCCTGGCGGGAGCGCGGGACCGATTCCTCGATGGTTTGGGTTAGGGGCCTAGATCCAGATCTTCAAGCGAGTTTCGAGTTGAAGAGGTTGTGTTATGTATTTGAGCACAGGGTTCCTTGTTACCGTGTCACGGCCCACAAAGAAGACCAGAGCTCATGTTACCTGGTGTTTCGAGGTGAACAAGCTTAATTGTGGTGATTGCTCCAGACGACAAGATCGATCGGGGTATTACGTTCAATTAATTGCTCCTGCTTGTGTCTGAGATATGGATGGTGTGCATCTTACCTCTAGAAAAAGCCCGAATGGGATGTACGACTTCCGGAGCTTGCCCCGCACCGTGCTCCGGTACTCTTTCGGTGACGACATTTACGTCTACAGGAACTTCAGCAACTAATACTTTCACCAGCATCATTGTTTGGTTCCTGTTATTATCGACTCATAGTCTGCGAGAACTTGCATTGGTATCATCTGAAATCCAGGGATCTGCTGATGCCAATCGATTGCACTGAGTAACACCACCATGTCAGGAGCTACCGAGGCTCTCAAGCACGTGAAGGCGCTCACGTTTGACGTCTTCGGGACTGTCGTGGACTGGCGATCAACGGTACACAACGAACTCATCAAGTTCGGGAAGGACAAAATTGATTCACCTGTCTTCGGTACACTACCCGAGTCACTTCAGACTCGCCTACGAGAGCTTACAGATGATGATTGGGGTGAGTTCGCGCAGGCATGGTGAGTCTCATCAACCATCACTCGTCCCTGTCGTAGTTCGCTTTGCGGCGGCAACAAGTGTCGCGGATCTGATCTCGCTTCTGTGCATGGCAATCACTGATCATGATTCGTCCAGGCGGGATTCTTACATCGAGTTTGTCCGAACCTTTATTCCCGGGCAGACGGAATGGAAAGATATCGACACGCATCATTACGATAGCCTTGTCGTACTGCTGAAGAAGTGGGATGTCTCGGGTGCCTACACAGAGCAAGAGATTCGCTCGCTGAGTCTCATCTGGCACTTCCTAAATCCGTAAGTTCTGCCCGATGCCGGCTGGTTCACGAGAAGAACTAACTTTGCAAGGTGGCCCGACTCGGCATCGGGGATCCAGAGACTTGGGACTCAATACGTCACTTGTACTCTCAGTAATGGCAATCGATCCCTGCTGGACGACCTCAATACCCACGGAGATCTTGGTTTTCGACGTATCATCTCGTCTGCAGATTTTGGCGCTTACAAGGTGAGAATCTGATTGGTCAAAGCCGCGTCGACACGTATTCTCGAGTGCCAACTACTCGGCTAACGAAAGACATCGCTGGTTGCCGGCAGCCGCACCCAAGCGTATATCTTCGAGCGGCGGATTCTCTAGACTGCCAGCCACATGAAGTTGCAATGGTCGCTGCACATCTGTCCGATCTTAATGCGGCCAGACAGAACGGTCTGCGCACGATTTATGTCGAGCGACCTGGAGAGGGAGGTTTTTCGAGGTAAGGCTCCAAGGAAGTCCGTGCCGTACTTCATTTCGGCCTCTCTTAGGCAGGCGAATAATATGACCGGTCGGTTTCTTACCAATTATCAGCGATAGCCAGAGTTATAAGGACGCACGAGAATGGGTTGATTTAGTATGTACCCCTCTCAGCTAGTAAGCTATGGATAACACTAACACTGATTTACCAGTGGATTTCCGAAGGTGAGGAGGGATTCGTTGAGGTAGCGCGAAAACTTGGTGTATCTACATGAGGGGGGCATCGCACAACTCATTTGGTTACATTGCTTTGCTGCACAACTCTGTTACATACTCCCTTACCTCGGATTGGTCG